TCTTCAGTTGTCCTGAGGTTTTCCATGGGAAATCGAAGTTCAACGTATGGGAGAAAGGGGCCCCGTTCCTTATTTAAGCTTCCTTAGGTCGACGCCCCGACTGTACGGCCGGTGCCGCCGACCCTGGACGGCGACCCCCACGATGGAAGAGGCATACGGGCAGGTCAGCTCACAACGAGAACCCGAACCAATCCACTGGGGAAGGTTTAAAAAAAAGGATGCTATACGAGGCATGCAAGAGGCGTCCAAGAACCGCTGCGAAGTCGGGGAGGTGTCCGGGATGAAAAACCGGCCCTGGGGAAAGGGTCGGGACTTCCGAGGCCCCGGCACAGAGAAAATTAGTTAGGACATCGCATGCTTGGAATAATTAGAGGAGCGGGATAGGGCCAGGGCAGGGGAGGGGGCAGATCGGCTTTTCAAGGTTCTCGGGCGGTTCTATTCGGCGGTTCTGGGGGGGGGGGGTCCCGCCCTGGGATGCTGTCCCGCAGCTGCGCCTCGCCGGGAGGCGTCCAGGGGGGGCCCGCATCGTCCCGAGTGGCCGCCAGGGGCCCGAGTCATGACATGACCCGAAAAGCAGACGACGAAGATCACTGGTTCAGGGGGACCCCCCTTCGCCCACTCATCGCCGATAGCGGCCTGCTATCGAGCGCCGATCACCGATCTGCCTGCGACGCATCGTCGATTCCAAGTCAATTGCCCCCCCCCTTGGGCCAGTCCCCCCGCTATGTTCCCCCCTCAGCTCCGAAGTGTTCGCAAGAGCGCGCGCGCAAGCCTTTTTTTTAAGATCCGTGTTGCGAAGCCCTGTGTTGTTGTATTTGTGTTGAACACTCGATTTTGAAATCCTTCCGAAACCGATGGTTGTTGAAGGATTTCGGCATGCAGGGCTCCCTAGAGGGTGTGCTGAAACGGGTAACGATGATGATGGTGATGGAGGAGGGAGGTGGGGGAGGAGGGGAAAGAGGAGGAGAAGAACGCGGCGACCGTTATTTCAAAACGAGGACCCAACACCACAGGATGGTTGGGAAAAACATAATAACAGAAAGGAATTAGCCTGGCTCCACCCAAGGCTTCAGCGGCGCCGTCCACATGCGTCAGCCACACCCATGTCGGCACACCCCTCACACGCTTCGTGGCCCCATAGGGAGCTCCACCCAAGGCCCCAGAAGCACCATCCACATGCGTCCGCCGATATCGGCACACCACTTACACGTCTCGTGGCCCCATAGGGAGCTCCACCGAAGATCATACTCATGACTACGGTGCTCACAGCTGCACACGAAACGTGTGAGGGGTGTGCCGAGATGGGTGTGGCGCACGCATGTGAACGGTGCCACTGGGGCTTTCGGTGGAGCTCCGTTTGGGGCCACGAAACGTGCGAGGAGTGTGCCGAAATGGGTGTGGCGGACGCATGTGGACGGTGCCGTTGGGGCCTTCGGTGGAGCTCTTTGCGGGGCCACGAAACGTGCGAGGGGTGTGACGACTTGGGTGTGGCGGACGCATGTGGACGGTACTATTGGGACCTTGGACGGGGCGGCTCCCTATGGGGCCATGAAACATGTAAGGGGGGTGCCGACATGGGTGCGGCGAACGCATGTGGACAGTGCTACGGGGATTTCGGATGGGGCTCCCTATGGGGCCACGAAACATGTGATGGGTGTGCCGAAATGACTGTGGCCGGACGCATGTGGACGGTCGCATTGGGGCTTTGGGTGGAGCTCCCTTATGGGTCCACGAAACATGTGAGGGGTGTGCCGAAATGGGTGTGGCGGACGCATGTGGACGGTGCCGTTGGGGCTTCGGGTGGAGTCCCTTATGGGGCCACGAGACGTCCGAGGGGTGTGCTGCAATGGGTGTGGCGGACGCATGTGGACGGTAGCATTGGGGCCTTCGGTGGAGCTCCCTTATGGGGCCACGAAACGTGCGAGGGGTGTGTTGCAATGGGTATGGCGGACGCATGTGGACGCTGCCATTGGGGCCTTCGGTGGAGCTCCTTGCGGGACCACGAAACGTGTGAGGGGTATGCTGAAACGGGTGGTGATGATGATGATGATGATGATGCTGATGCTGATGCTGATGCTGATGATGATGATGATGATGATGATGATGATGCTGAGCATGATGAGTATGATGCTTATTATGTTTATGGTGGTGATGATAATGATGATGATGATGATGGTGGTGATGGTGATGGTGATGGTGATGGTGATGATGATGATGATGGTGATGATGATGATGATGATGGTGATGATCATGATGGCGACGATGATGATGATGATGGTGATGATGGTGATGATGATGACGAAGATGATGACGATGGTGATGATGATGGTGGTGATGATGATGATGGTGATGATGATGATGTTGATGATGATGATGCTGATGATGATGATGATGATGATGATGATGATGATGATGATGATGATGATGATGATGATGATGATGATGATGATGAGAGGCGGGGGTTCTGCGGGAGGAGGAGGAGGAGGAGGAAACGCAGGAACTGTCTCTTCAAAACGGGGACCCAACGCCACAGGATGGTTGGGGAAAAAAACGAGATGAGGCGGGAGCTCGCTGGGGCCCCTTGATTGGGGCCCAAGGGGGGGGGGGGGGGGCAGCATTCACTTCAAGTCATCGTGGAGGGAGAGAGGGCTCAGGGGGTAGAGCGGGCGCGGGGGGGAGGGAGGGAGCGGGTGAAGGGGCGAGAGACGGGGGCCAGGGGGGCAGAGTTAGGGGGAAAAGTTTCGTCCGGGGCGCAGGAAGGTAGAAGGGGGAGGGTAAAAACGGGAGCTCCTCCACGTGCTCATTCTCATCTTCCTCGATCCCTGTGCCATCATAGTGCACAACAATCCGCGCAACGCGAGTGCCAGAGCAAAGGCCCTGCACGATCGGTTCTGTCGGAATGAAGGGCAATGTCCACGCTCCTCGCTGACCCAACGTGCGCACTGACATGCACTTTCGTTTCTCCAGACGCAACACTGCTGCTGGAAAACCCAACTTCAAACCATTCGACAGGAGAACTTGCCGACGAAAGCTATCGTCAAAAGCCTCGATGTCCAACAGGCCGCGGCCCGATGGAATGCGCGACACCTGTCCGATCTCCATGCTTCTCTCCATGCTGCACTGCCTTGCACCGCCGCGCCCCAGTGGGCCGCCGTCGCCTCGCTCCCGTCGCCCACGACTTGTGGAGGACGATAAATGGAGAGGAAGTGTGCTGCCAAATAATTTCCAGATGTCTAGAACATGCGTTACAACTGTTTTGAACATGTTAAACCATGTTTTAACAATATCCAGGACATTTCTTACTACATTTCAAACACATGTTTAATCCAATGGTAGGACTGTTAAAGTGTCCATTGTCGAGGCATCCACAATCCACGACAGGCTCGCGGATGAGCGACCAGATCTTGGCGAACATCGTCAGCATGCCGACGACGCGGTCGCCGCCCACTTTCCTGGGGTGCCGCCTCCCCAGGATCGCCGGCACCTGGCAGGGCCACGCCGCCTGCTCCTCGCGCACCATACACAACTGAACGGGCTTGTCCAGGGCTGCTGGCGGTCGCCTCTCGAAGTCGAGAGGCGGCGTTAGATCGGCTCCCGTCCCAGCTCGCGGTCGCGTGCGATGGGCTGCCGTACGAACCATCTCGCCAGTGACGTCGGGGAGTATCTCAAGCTGCGCCCGCCTTTTGGCCCGCCGAAAACATCCGCTCACCTCGCTGAAGTCATCGCGAATGGGACCCCACAGCATGCGCCACTTGGCCGCCTTGTGGTCGATCATGTATAGGCGTAGCATCGTCCAGCTCAACCTCAAGCGGCGTCGGCGGATCATCCTTGATGCCTTTGTGGGGCTTCCCATGGGCTGTGGGCGACTCCATCCAGTCACCAAACTTGTGAAGAGAAGCCGCCAAATCGCGCCGTTGACACCTGCTAGCCACACGGCCTGCACTTACAACACACATCTCAATCTCATCCTTTCCCGCAACACGGATCCGTCTGACAAAAACTCTGCCACTTCCGCCACGATGGGTCGCCGCGTTGCTGCACGCACACTCGTAGCCCCGTGTGTGCCTGTTCTGGGCACTCCGAGGCTAGACACTTGAATGTTATGTTGCTAAAACAAAAAATCCTTGAATTTTACGACCACACCCCGCACAGCCAGAAGAGCGCAGCCCCACCCCAAAACGGGGCTCTCCCGCGTGAAGCGGAGGCCCATCGGGAGCCCGCGCTCTAATGGAGCGCTTCCCCGAGTGAGGGGGACTGCCTGCAGGAACGTATGATGAGGTGACTTGGGACGGAGGGTTGATTGCAGCATCGGTCCTCATACATCACATTAGTCCTCATCTTCCCCATTAGCTTCTTCCTCCCGATCCTTCTCCCCCTGCTCATCTCTCCTCCGCCTCTTCTTCATGATCCTCATCATCGAAATCCGCTTGCCCCTCTTTGTCTTGGTTTTCTTCCTGTTCTTCCCCCTCCTTCTCCGCCTCCTCCTCCGCCTCGTCCTCCTCCTTTTCTACATTCTCCTCCTCCTCATCCCCATTCACATCTTCCTCCTGTCCTCACCTGTCTCACCCTCCTACCCTTTCTCCCCCGCTCGTTGTTTGTCCTCCATTCCGTGCTCCTGCTCCTCTCCCGCTCCTCTTCTCCGCCTCTTCCTCCTCCTCCTCCTCCTCCCCCTCCTCCTCCTCCTCCTCCTCCCCCTTCTCCCCCTCCTCCTCCTCCACCTCCTCCTCCTCCCCCTCATCCTCCTCATCCTCCTGTCCTCATTCTGCTCCTCCTCCTAATCCTCCTCCTAACTCGTATCCCCCATGTTCCTATTGCTCCTCCTGATTATTCTCCCTTATCCCCGTTTTAAGTGGTATCCTATCTACCCCCCTCCGCATGTTCCTGCTCCTCTCATCCTCATATTCCTCGCCTTCCTTCCCTATTCCAAACCAGATTTGGCTCAACGAAGTCGGAAAGAGCACCTAGAGGCACGGTGACCATATGGTTCCTGATCGTGCTGCATGCTAGACATCCAGCGGGGATGTCGACCAGGTGCGTCTTCCCTCGGAGCGGCCATCAAGAATTGTGGGAGGAAAGGGCACTGGAGCGCGGCACTGCAGCTGTTCCGCGAAGCGTCTCAGACGCGAGCGGATCTCGGCAGAGCCCACTACACTGCGATTGCCAGCGCATGCGGGCAGAGCGGGCAGTGGCAACGGGCGCTGTCGCTTCTCAGCGAGATGGAAGAGGCGAAGTTGGAGCTAGACGTCAGCAATTCTACAGAGTTCATGGTCGTCCTCCCCTTCTGCTGAGTACGATGAGTCTTGTTATTAGCATTTCAGTTATTATGATTGCTGTTATTTACCAGTAGTATCATTACCAATATGGTGATTATTAGTAATAGTGAAATTATCAGTACTAGCATGTTTAGTATTGTTCTTAGTAAGTATGATAGTAGTGTTATTTGTAATATTAGTAATGGTGTTAGTAGTATTAATATGATTGATATCATTATTTCGATTGCCATTATGATGCGTTTTCTTGTGTGTCTTGCCCTTCGCACCTCTCATAGACTGGAAACCCACACACACACACACACACACACACCAGGGGCCGCTGAAAGGCACCGAGTGCTCCTTCCCACCGCCCGAGGCCTCCGCTGAGGCCTCCGCGGCGAGCTTCCCACGGGAGCTCCCCCGGCCCCCCGGGAGCTCCTGGGCAGGGTCCCAACAGGCCGCCGAGACGGGCCAGGATGGCGCCTAGACGGCCCCAGGTGGCGCCCAGACGGCCCAACAGGCCGCCAAGACAGGCCAGGATGGCTTCTAGACGGCCCCAGATGGCGTCCAGACGGCCCAACAGGCCGCCAAAGACGGGCCAGGATGGCTTCCAGACGGCCCCAGATGGCGTCCAGACGGCCCAACAGGCCGCCAAGGCGGGCCAGGATGGCGCCTAGACGGCCCCAGGTGGCGTCCAGAGGGCCCAACAGGCCGCCAAGGCGGCTCCAGGAGGGCACCCCAGAGAGCCCGAGGAGGCACAGATCGTCCATTCCTTTTTTGGGGGGAACGTACACCTCAAGCAAAATTCGCAGTCCTCCCCTGCGCAGCGTGCAAGACGACCCAAAAGTCCCCCTGAGAGAGCCCCAAGGACCAGGGCCCGAGTCGGCTTCAGGCCCGTTTCGGCTTCGGGTCCGTTTCGGCTTCCGCCCGTTTCGGCCTCAGTCCGTTTCGGCTTCGGCGCGTTTCGGCTCGGCTGCTTTCGGATCCGCCCATTTCGGCTTCGGCACGTTTCAACTTCGGCCCGTTCCGGCTCCGCCCGTTTCGGCTTCCGCGGGGTTCGGTCTCGGCCCGCTTCGGCTTCCCGGCACGGGTGCGAGCACGAACTTGAAAGCCGAGATGGGCCGAAGCCGAAACGGGCAGGAGCCGAAACGGGCCAGGGCGAACGGACCGGAGCCGAAACGACCCAAGAACGAACGGACCGGAGCCGAAACGGGCCTGCACGAAACGGGACGAGGCCGAACCAGGACGAAGTCGAAACGGTCCGGGACGACGCGCGTCGAGGCCGAAGCGAGCGGACGAGGCCGAAACGGGCCGGAGCCGAAGACGGGACTTTTGGGCCCGTTTCGGCTCCGGCCCTTCGGAGGAAGGCGACAGGTGCTGAGAGGGCCTTCGCGGGGCTCGGACCCTCGTGGAGGAGGAGGTGCTCCTCGCCGTGATCCTCCTTCTGGCGCCCACGCACTGCCAACAGAAGCCCGGCCAGCGTCTGCGGAAGAGGTGAACGAAAGAGGAGCAGAGGACGAGGAGGAGGAGGAGGAGGAAAGGAAAAGGAAAAGGAGGAGAAGGAGGAGAGGGAGGAGCTGGATGAGGACAGGAGGACGAGGAGGAGGAGGACGGATTGCGGAGGAGGAGGAGGACGGATTGCGGAGAAGGAGGAGGAGAAGGAGGAGGAGGAGCAGGAGCAGGAGCAGGAGCAGGAGCAGGAGCAGGAGCAGGAGCAGGAGCAGGAGCAGGAGGAGCAGGAGGGCGCGGGGCAGAATCTCGAAGAGAGGCTGACGAGTGCCAGCAGCAGCCTCCCGTGCGCGCGGGGCGCCCAGGAGCCTCTCCAGCAGCACACAGGAGGCCCCAGGAAGCCGCCGGAGTGCCCGCGCAGGACTTCCAAGAGGGCCAAGTGAGGAGGGAGGAGTGAGGAGGAGGAGGAGGAGGAGGAGGAGGAGGAGGAGGAGGAGGAGGAGGAGGAGGAGGAGGAGTTAAAAAGAACAGGACGAATCCTGACGTGTTGTCTGAGCTGTTCTCGAGCTCCCACGTGCTGCCGACGCGTGGCTCCAAGTGGGCCTCGGAGGCCAGACGCCAAGGCGTGCGTTTCCGAGCGTAGGGCCCAGCCATCTGGACACGGCCTCTCTGACGGAGACTGCGCGTGGCCACGTGGCGAGCAGAATTCGAGCGCGCCAGACCAGCCAGCAGACGGCCCAAGCCTGGCCCAGCCCCACGAGTCACCAAGGCGGCCGTTCGAGAGGCGCAGAGGACGGTGGTCAGTGATTTGCTGCGGAAGAAACGAGGGCCAAGACGGGCTCAAGACCTCGACAGGCGGCCCAGGATGCCTCCAGGACGGACCAGGACGCCCCAAAGCGAAAGGGACGCCAAGAAGCTCGAAGAGAGGCCTCAGACATCGAAAAGAATCTAAATCGATTGGTATTTCAATGCCGGTGGCTTCCCATGCTTCTGTCCACCCGTGAAGGCTTCAGGAGCATTGCCGAGGGCCCCAAGAAGGGCCCCCCAGGAAGTTTCCAGAACGGCGCAGCTCGACCTCAAGGTGGCGTCCTGGGAGGCCCAAGGGCGGCCCAGGAGAGCCCAACGATGGCTCCAGACGGCCCTCGGCCGCCAGGCTCCCAAGTCGGCACGAAATAGAGCCCTGGAGGTCCCGACGATGGCTCAAAGACGGCCCTCGGCCGCAGGCTCCCGAGTCGGCACGGAAGAGAGCCCGGGAGGTCCCCTGGGCGCTTCGAGACGGTCTTCGAGAGCCCAGCAGGGATGGCTTCCGCATGGCCTTCGTGAGGCCTCGGCCAACTCGAGAGGCCCTGCCCAGACCTGCTCGCGCGCTTGCGAATATAGAATCACGACGTGAGGTTCTCCGCGATTATCTGACTCTGAAAACCGGGCCTCAGGACCGTCAAAAGACGACTCGGGATGGAAAACCGGTCCCGGGGAAGGGGTCCAGACCTCCTGGGGTCGACGTTGTAAAAAAATCACAACGTCGGGGGTCTGGGTAGAGGGTTCCGAGACACCCCCCGAAGGCCCAGGGGGCCCCAAGAAGTTCCAGGAGTGTCCCGATTGTTGCCAGCATCGTCAGCAGAAGAGCCAGCAGCAGCACAGCCAGCAGCAGCCAGCGGCAAGAGTAGGTCACAGCGGAACGGAGCAGCACGCAGCAACGAGCGGCAGCAAGCAGCAGCCAGCGGCAGCAGCAGACAGCACCATGCAGCGGCAAGCAGCAGGAAAGTTCCAGCAGGCAGCAGCGAAAAGCAGACGGCAGCGGCAAGCAGCAGAGACCAGCAGCAGGCAGCAGCCGCAGCAAGCAGCAGCAGAGGCGGGAGGGGGCACGGGAGCAGGCGGGTGGTGAGGAATCGTCCAGAGCACCTCCAGGGACCCTTCACGGGGGGCCCCTCCGACGCCCAAGCAGCCCATCAGCCGACCGCGCAGTTGCACTATGACCCTCACTGGGTCGCCGTCCCGATCGGTTGGCGTCGGTCTAATATACCGTGGCTGAGCCATGTCAGATGAGCAAGTTGCTCGAGCATGCCAACCACGGGCACACTCATCAGCTACAGCGCTGGGATCAGCGCGTGCGGAAAAGGCGATCAGTGGCAGCAGGTTCTGGCGCTGGTTAGCAAGATGGAGGAGGCGAAATTGGAGCCCGACGTCATCTTCTCTACACTGCAAGGTCCCATGCATGTTCCACGAGACACGCAAGGTGTCCCAACGAATGGTCGAAAGGGGCAAATGAAAACGTAAGATGCGAAACATATAGCCTTCAAACGCTTCAACGCGCTGGGCTTCCGTGGCTGCTCTGACCGAGATGGCTTCAGGAGAGCTTCCAAGGGCCTCGGAGTGCCCGAAGAAGCTTCTAAGAGAGCCCCCGACGTGCCCTGAGACCGCCCAAGAGGGACCTCGGAGAGCCCTCAAGGGGCCGAGGGGAGCCCCCCCATCTACGGCCCAAGAAAGCCCCAGAAAGCCCCGAGGCAGCCCAAGCCCCATGGCCCCGAGGGGAGCCCCCCTTACGGCCCAAGAAAGCCCCAGAAAGCCCCGAGGCAGCCCAGGCCCCATGGCCCCGAGGCAGCCCCAGGACAATCCCAGGCAGCCTCAAGGCGCCCCCAGGACAGCCCGAAGCTGCCCTCGGGCGGCCCCTAAGTCGGCCGAGGAGACCACAGAAGCTTCCGAAGATCTTGCGACAGCAGATGGGCCAGCAGCAGCAGCCAGGGCAAGGCGACAGCAGCAGCAGGCAAGCAGAGCAGCTAACCAGCAGCAGCAAGCAGAACCCACAAGCAGCAGCAACAGCAGCAGCAGCACGTAACAGCAGCAACGCGTGGCAGCAGCAAGCAGCAGCCGTAAGCAGCAGCAAGCAGCAACAATACACCGCAGCAAGCAGCAGTGACTGGTAGCCAGCGGCAGCAAGCCGCAGCGATGTGCTCGTGGACGTAGTCCAATGGTCAGCCCTAGTCTATCCTACAATACCCAGAGCGCGTGCAACCTGACAATCGTGGCGCAGCCGGGGGGGGGGCCGCCGGGAGGGCCTGCGCTTCTCTGATTCTGACGGCCCAAGCTAGTCCAAGAGTCTTCCAAAACTTCCCAAGATGGCGTCCAGACGGCTTCAGAAAGCCCCAGGATAGCCCAAGACGGCCTCCAGACGGTCGAAGAGCCTTCCAACAGGCCAAGAGCGCTCCGTGCACAAATCTCAGGCTTTCTGTAAGTTTTGGGTTTTTTCGAACGTGTGTAGCATGTACGACTTCCGGGCCCCTGCAGTGCCCACGACGACCCAACAGCCCCAAAGATCGCGCCAAGCCGGCCCAAAAGGCCCCCCAAGAGAATCCCAAAGCGGTGCGAGAGGGCCTCAAGACGGCCCAAGACGGCCCAAGACACCCCCAAGACGGTCCAAGAAGCGCCCAAGACAATTCAAGATTGCCCAGAGATCGCCCACTGGAGCCCCAGGTGCGTCCAGACGGCCCCAAGAGCGCTGTCTGACAGCCCGAAGAGGCCCCCCAACGGATGCTGTAACGCACCCCGCTGTTGTAGCATCCGTCGGCTGCTTTCCGAGGGCCCTGCTGGGGTCGTCTTCAGGCCGCCAGGCTCCTCGGCTGCATCATCTGCGACACCTGTCAACCAATAGGCTGTCGCCGCCTCTCGGCCCCACCGCGCTCCCCTGCCAGAGCACCTGCGGATTTGCCCCACGGGTAAACACTAAGTCTCTCCAACATGGCTCGAGGAAGCGCGTGCGGGAAGGGAAACAGATCACGTGTCGAAAATCGGCCTCGGTGGGCCCCTGGCACGACCTCGGCGGGCCCCTGGCGCCCCTGGCGCGGCCCAGCGTGCCTCCGGGCGCCTCGAGCACGCTTCGGGACGCCTTCAGTGAGCGCCGAGATCGGGCCAAGAGCCCCAACATGGCTCCAAGACGGCCCCAGAGGCCATCCAGACGGCTCGCGGCGGCCAAAAATCATTGATATGTCGATGGTTTTTGCTTGATTTCCAGGTTCACGCGATCTCGAGCCAAGAGCCGCCCAAGACGGCACGTGGGCCCCCCCGAACGCTCCAAGGCCGCCGAAGAGCTTCAGCAAGGGCCCCAAGACGGCTCGGGAGGGCTCTAAGACGGCTCCTGGAGGAGCCCAAGACGGCCCAAGAGAGCCCCAAAACGGCCCGAGAGAGCTCCCAGGAGCCCCCAGACGGGCCCCAAGAGCTGCCCAAGAGGGCTCACGGAGAGTTCCGAGACAGCCCAAGAGCCCCAACATTGCCCTAAGACGGCCCCAGAGGCCGTCCAGACGGCTCGCGGTGGCCAAAAATCATTGACGCATCGATGGTTTTGCCTGATTTTCAGGCTCTCGCGATCTCGAGCCAAGAGCGGCCCAAGACGACCCCTGGGCCCGCCACGACTGCTCCAAGGCCAGCGAGGGCACCAAGACAGCTCAGGAGTGCTCCAAAACGGCTTCCGGAGGAGCCCAAAACGTCCCAAGAGAGGCCCAAGACGGCGCGAGAGAGCCCCCAGACAGGCCCCAAGACGGGCCCCAAGAGCCGCCCAAGAGCACACCCAACATGACCCCCACACGGCCCAGGAGGCCTTCTGGACGGGCCGCGTCAAACGAAATCATTGATTTTCTTATGGTTTGTGAAAGATTTCCACCTTCTCGCCGTTTCGAGGCAAGACTGGCCCAAGACGGCTGCTGGGGCTCCCCCGAACGCTCCAAGGCCGTCCAAGAGGATCCAGAAAAGGCCCCACAACCACACAGGAGGGCTCCAAGATGACCCAGGAGGCGCCCAAGATGGCCCAAGAGCCGCCCGAGACGGCCCAACGACAGCCCGAGAGGCGCCCAAGACGACCCAAAACGACCCAAGTTTGCACATGAGGCGCCAAAGACGGCCCCAAGTCACCCTCCAGACCCCGTACGAGGCCCGAGGATACCTCCGAGCGGCCCCCACGAGAGCCCAAGAGGCTTCCAAACTGCTCCCAGAGAAGCGAGGCGGACGACAGTTCTCGACAGTTTTCAACGCTCCTTGGGCCCTCCATGCTTCTGTTCGGGGTGGCGCTGTCGTAAGACCCGTTCTGAACACGCTAGATGACGTGGACGAAGTCCACGGGCTCGCCCTAGTCAGCTACAACGCTGGGATTAGCGCGTGCGGGAAGAGCGAGCAGTGGCAGCGAGCCTTGTCGCTGCTCGGCGAGATCTCAGAGGCGAAATTGGAGCCCGACGTCATCAGCTACAACGCTGGGATCAGCGCGTGCGAGAAAGGCGAGCAGTGGCAGCGGGCGTTGGCGCTGCTCGGCGAGATGCGGCACGAGAAATTGAAACCGCATGTTATAAATTCCATAACGTGGGACGTTGGGCATGTGAAAACCAAAGCAACGCACAGGGACCCCAAGACTGGCAAGAGACGGCCTATACCATGGAGGTTCCTACTATGCCCTTGAGAAGTTGCTGGTTTCAGCGTCCTCGATTTTCTGGTCAGGAATTGGCCCAAGACAGCCCCGGCGTGGCTCCAAGACCACCCCGACACCGCGCCAACACAGCCCAGGAGGGCCCCAAGACGGGCCCCGAGACGGCCCCAAAGGCAGCCATCAGAGTGCCCCAGAATTGCTCGCGCGGGGCCGAATGCTCCTCAAGACGAGTGGCGCACCCCGCGTGCTCCTGCTGGGCCCCAGGAGCCCCTCGATGGGCCTCCAAGAGAGGCCGCCGAGAGGGCGCCTGCGGTGCAGATTGGATCCGCGGGCCCACCCTGGTCAGCTACAACGCTGGGATAAGCGCATGCGGAAAAGGCGAGCAGTGGCAGTGGGCGCTGTCGCTGCTCAGAGAGATGCGGGAGGCGAAGTTGGAGCCCGTTGGCATCTGATACACGATTGCTCGCCCGCGCGCGGGAGAGATGCGCAGAGGTGGAGTAGTTGGTTTCTTTTAGGCAGCGCCGCCCAGATGGCTCTACCGTGCGTGGATGCCGGTTCCAAATATGATTATTGCTTCTACTTCTGGTATCAATGCTACCACTACTACTACTACTACTACTACTATTACTACTACTACTACTACTACTACTACTACTACTACTACTACTACTACTACTACTACTACTACTACTACTACTACTACTACTACCGCACGACTACTACTACGATACTACTACTACTACTACTACTACTACTACTACTACTACTACTACTACTACTACTACTACTGCTACTGCTACTACTACTACTACTACTACTACTACTACTACTACTACTACTACTACTACTACTACTACTACTACTACTACTACTACTACTACTACTACTACTACTACTACTACTACTACTACTACTACTACTACTACTACTACTACTACTACTACTACTACTACTACTACTACTACTACTACACTACTACTACTACTACTACTACTAACTACTACAACTAGCTACTACTATACTACTGACGAACTACTAATAACTACTACTACTACTACTACTACTACTGTTACCACTGCTACTGCACTACTATTAATCTACTCCTACTACTACTAACTACTACTACTACTGACTACTACTACTACGAACTACTACTACTACTACTACTCTACTACTACTAACTACTGCTGCTGCTGCTGCTGCTGCTGCTACTACTACTACTACTATTGACTACTACTACTAGCTACTACTACTACTACTACTACTAGTACTACTACTACTACTACTCTACGATCACTACTACCCACTTCTACCTACTACTACTACTACTACTACTACTACTACTACTACTACTAACTACTACTACTACTACTACTACTACTACTACTACTACTATTGTTTGGCTACTACTACTACTACTACTACTAACTAACTAATACTACTACTAACTACTACTACTACTAAACTGCTACTAGTACTACGAGGGACTACTACTACACTTGTACTACTACTACTACTACTACTTACTACTTACTACTACTAACTAGACTACTACTACTACTACTAACTACGACTACTACGACTACGACTACGACTACCGACTACTACTACTACTACTATTACTACTACTACACTACTACTACTACTACTACTACTACTACCACTACTACTACTACTACTACTGCTGCTGCTGCTGCTGCTGCTGCTACTACTACTACTACTACTACTACTACTACTACTACTACTACTACTACTCTTGATTATACTCCTACTCCTAGTCCTACTCCTACTCTTACTCCTCCTCCAGCTCCTCTCTCTCTCTCTCTCCTATATCTTCTATCTCTCCTCTCTCTCTCTCTCTCTATATCGCCTCCTCCCTTCGCTTCCTCCCCTCACCTTTTGCTCTCGCCACATCCTCAGTCTCCTCCTTCTCCTCCTCCTCCCCCTCCTCCTCCTCCTCCTCCTCCTCCTCGGTCCGCAGGTGCACCACAACATACCAGCAAGCAGCAGCGAGCAGAAGCATGCACCAGCCAACAGGATGTGGCAGCAGCGAGACGCAGCAGCAAACGATGGCACGTCGCAGGAAGCGACAGCAAGCGGGAGCGACCAGACGAGCAAGCAATGAAGCGGGCAAGTCAGGAAGAAAGTTGCCAAGCCAGAAGGCAAGCAGGGAAGCAGGCAGGCGATGCTCGCGATGGTCTGCGAGGCATGTGCGTGGGTGTCCGTCACGGTTCATCCCTAGTCTATTGTGCAATGTGTGGGGAGCCGCGCGTGCCAAAAGGGGCAAGTCTTGCACGTGCCCACGTCCTGGGCTACGAGTCCACAGGGACCCCGGTAGCCCATGAGCAACCAAAGAGGCCTTACAGGGCGCCCAGTTTCCCCAAGATGTTCCCAGTGCGCTCCAAGAGGCCCTCAAGAGAAGCACAAGAGCTTCAGACACACACAGGTTCCGAGCATGCTCCCAAGATGGCCCCAGCGGGTGACCGTAGCACCCCAAGGTAGCTCCAATAGGCGTCAGAGAACTTTCAAAGCTCCGAAAGATGATTACGATCTTCTCCAAGAAGCGCCAAGAGGGCCCCCAAGAGGGCCTCATGGGGGCCCATGACGCTCCAAGCGACTTCCAAGTCTGTCCGAGAGTGCCCCAGCGACGCCCCATCGGACCCAAGATGGCCCATGAGGGCCCCAAGCGGTCCCAAAGCCCAGAACGCCTCCGCGAGGCCGCAAGACGGCCCAGGGCTCCCGGCGGTCCCGGACGAGGGCCCAAGGTAGTTTCTGCTCGTTGCCCACTTCTCCTCTTCCTCGTAATCCTTCTCCTTCGGGGGCGGCAAAGAGGGGGGTGATGACCAGGGGGGGGTGGATATCATGGCGGGGGCCATGATATTTTCCCAGATTTCATGGCACCTCTTCTTGTTTCATTACGTCCCTGGCCTCCCCGCTGGGCCGCGCACATACCGCCGGTCATGATTTGCACCCCCCCTCTTGGACGCCCCCCTCTTGGCCGCTCCCGACTCCTGCCCTCACTCCTCCAACTCCACCTCGTCATGATTTAGTCGCTTCGCTCACTCCGCCAGCCCATTTCGCATCACGGTGGCTCCATGGCGAGGTGCTCGTGCCCATGGGGAGTGGTGGGGCAGGCAGGAGATTGCCCTCGAGGAGACTCTGGGAGATGCGGCTCGCACCCTGCCGAAGAGAGCCCACAGACTGCCCCAGGGGCGTCAAGGTGGCTCAAGAGAGCTCCATCCGAGTTTCGGGACGTACCAGGGTTGTGGGTCAGAGTCCTCCTGGATGGTTCCTGGGGTCTCTTCGGAAGGCTCCCGGGAGCCTCTGGAGAGCAGTTTTAAAGCCTCTGGGGAGCCTCGGGGGGGCTTTGGGGGGGCCTCTTGGGACTTCCTGGGGGCCTATTGGGGCTTCCTCGGGGCCTGTTGGGGGTGTTCGGAGCCTTCTTGGAGGCCTCTAGGGGGGGCTCTTGGAGGCCTCTGGGGGCTTCCTGGGCGCCTCTTGGGGCCGAGAGCTCGAATGTCTGTTCGGGCTCCCCCTCTGGGCCCCCTCCTGGGGCCATCCTGGGGGCGTCTTGGAGGCCTCTTGGGCCGTCCTAGGGCCATCTTGAGCCATTCGAGGGCCCTCTTGGAGGCTTCCTGTGCCGTTTTGGAGCGATCCTGGGGCCTCTTGGGCCGTCCAGTGCGGTCGGCAGCTCGAAAAGGCGGTACCGCCAAAATCGCCTGAAAACCAAAGCAAAATCAATGATTTGCGCGTCTTTGGGGCCCATCGAAGTCTACATGGAATCCTCCTGGAGCGTATTGGGCACTTCTTGGGCCGTCTTGGGACCAACGTGGGCCATCTTGGAACGCTCTTGGTCTGAAGCCGTGGGGCCTGCCACCCTTTTGGCGCCTCATAGGGGCGCTCGGGTGGGCCCCGAGGCCGCGCCCGGGAGTTCTGGCATCTCTGACCCGACTTTGCTAGGACCTTGCCGGGGTACTTTTTGACCGCGGACCCCCAGGGGCCGCCCCCCGCGCGCGAACTAGAAACACTCTTGAGCTCTTGCCAGAGATTTTGGCACGCCTCTGGCCCGTTGGTCCAGCGAATCATCCTCACCATTCTCCCTTCTTCCTCCGCCCCCCTCCTGCTCCTCCCTCCTCCTCCTCCTCCTCCTCCTCCTCCTCCTCCTCCTCCTCCTCCTCCTCCTCCTCCTCCTGCTCCTCCTCCTCCTCGTCCTCCTCCTCCTCCTCCTCCTCCTCCTCAGTCTCTCTCCTCCCTCCTAAGAGGTTCCGCATTGACCGACACTGGTCCACTTACTTCTCAGGTGCTCGCCCTGCCCGGGAGACGCGCAGGGGGGCGTGGAGGAAGAGGAGGAAGGCTAAGAGGAAGGGAATGAGGAGGAGGAGGAGGAGCAGGCGGAGAAAGAAGACTGAGGGGGGTAGGATGAGGAGGATGAGGGGGGAATGAGGAGGAGGAGGAGGAGGAGGAGGAGGAGGCGCAGGCGGAGAGGAGCAGGACCAAGGTGCAGGCCGAGGGACGAGGGGGAGCCCGAGGGGGAGCCTGGCAGACGACTGCGGCTCGGGTTCTCCAGACGCCTGGCAGCAGAGAGGCTCCCTGCACGGCCTCGTCCCGCCTCCGCGCCCCCGCCGCGGCCCACCCCTTCGGGAGAGCGGCTGTCCCAGACAGCAGCTCGATCTGCCTGCCGTGAGCTCGACCCGCGGACCCGCCCCGGTCAGCTACAACGCGGGGCTCAGCGCGTGCGAGAGGGGCGCGCAGTGGCGGCGGGCCCTGTGGCTCCTGGGCGCGATGCGGCGCGGGCGGCTGCAGCCCGACATCGTCTCCGCTGCGCCTGCCGGGGCCGGCGCGCGCGACCGGAGCCGAGCGGCACGGCGGGCACGTGGTCTTTTTGGGCGGTGGGGCCCCGACGGCCTCCCAGCGCAGCTAGGCCCAAGAAGGTCGTGCGTGACTTGCCGCTCGGCTCCGGAGAAGGCCGAGGAGGGCCCCCCCGAGGCTCCCACGGGGGCCCGGAGAGGAGTCGGCGAGCCCTTCGGCGGGCCCACGGCGCCCCCAAGAGGGCGCCTGCTGGCCTCCGAGAGCCCCGGGACGCCACCCCGAAAAGTACCACCCGGAGGCCCCCCAAAAACGCCCAAGTGGTCGGAAGGGGACCCCGAGGGAGCCCAGGAAGCCGCAGGGGAGGCTGCGAGAAGGCCCAAAGAGAGAGAGAGCCAGGAAGCGGCCCAAGAGGAGAGGCCGAGTGTTAACGGCCACACGCGCGCCGAGGCCCATGGGGAGGCGCGTGCATCGGCCGCTCGTGAAGCCTCCCTCCTCGCTCCTCGCCCCCTGCTCCTCGCCCATGGCTCCTTGATCCTCGCCCTGCTCTCCCCGCTCCATGCTCCACTCACTCACCGCTCCTTGCTCTCTTCTCCCGGCCCTGGGTCGGGCATGTCCTCCTGCAGGCGGACTGTGGAAGAAGAAAGAAAAAAGAGTCAAAACATGCTCACAAACATAGTCAAAAGAATCAGAAATTTGTGCCCCGGGTAACTTTTGGACTATTTCTGAATACTCCTCCTGTAGAGGGACAGGCCCGACCGAATCCTGTACCCTCACCACTGCCTACTAGCTGCTCGCACCTCCATCGCCGCTCCTCCCTCCTCGGCTCTCCCGCCTCCCTCCTCGCCCCCGCCCTCTCCTCGGCCGTCGTTCCTCCCGTTTCATTCCTCGCTTCCTTCGACGACGAAGAAGCGCCATAAACATGAACTGCTTGCGCTCCGCGCGGATTTCTTGGACCTGCGCTGGGGCCCCCTGCCGGCGCCTCCAGCGCCGCCCCTGGCGCGCTCCGCGCGCCAGAGAGGGGGGTCCAGGGCAGATCCAAGAAGTCCGCGCGGAGCGCCAGAACTTTAGGTGTATGGCGTTTTTTGTTTTGTATGCCTCGCATATATTGCCTCCCTCCCTCATCCTTGCTCCGCGCTCCTTACTCCCAGGCACTCTCGCCAGCAGCAGACCGCGCTGACAAGCAAAACAGCAAGGCGTAGCAACATCCTGCACCAAGCAGCAACCGCGAAAACCAGTAGCACGCAGCACGAGGCAAGAGGCAGTAGCACACAGCAACAGGAATAAGTAGCTGGCAGTAGCAGTCTGCAGCAGCAGATCTGGCAATCAACAGCACCCTGCAAGCACAAGCAGCAGCAGCACGCAACGGCGAAAGCTAGTCCATAGCGGCGAGGAAGAACAACATGTAGAGCGGAATCCGTGACAATCAGCACGAAGCATCCTCAAGCGGAAGAAAGCCGCAGCAAGCGGACGGGCAAACCATGAAGCAAGCAGAACAGACAGCAGGCGAAGAGGCCAAAAAGCTAGCAAGCCACCACGCGAGCAGGACCACGGACGAGCATCCAAGCAGGCAAGCGATCCCCACCCTTCCGTACCATTGGGAGGTCGTGGACGGTTGTCCACGGGCCAGCCTTCGTCGATCTATTCGGATGCCCGGGGCAGCGCGTGCCCGAAGGGCGCTCGCTCTAGAAAGCGCAACGTCGGCCCAGACGCTCCAGTCGCGACACCAGAACGCTCAAAGACGGCCCCAACAAGGCCACAAGACGGTCCAAGGGAGGTTCCAGGCAGCTGCAGAGGACCCGGAGGCGGCTGAAGGAGCCCCAAGACGTCACAAGAGCGGCCCAAGACGGCCCAAGATGGCCTCGGGACGGCCAGGGATCCCCAAAGACGCTCCGAGAAGGCTCCAAGAGCACCCCCGACAGAGAGCCTCCAGGCGCGAGAGGTACTGATCTCCCTGAGGCCCCAAGGACGCCCACAAGACGGTTCGAGAAGCCGCCAGCACTGGCCCAGGCACCTCCAGCAGGGCCCCATGACAGCCCACGGCGGGGCCCAGCAGGCCCGAGGCCCCTGGGGTTAGGTGCTCAGCATTCGCTCCGTACCACGAAGATTTGTGGCCGATGGCCGACACGGCCGTGAAGAGGGCCCCAAGACGGCCCAGGGCGGGCCCCTGGGACACTCAGAATTCCTCAAGTCGAGGAAGAATAAACGGCATCAACAGAAATTTGTTGGCGCTCCGCGCGGATTTCTTGGATCCGCGTTGGGCCCCCCCTCCCTGGCGCCAAAGATTTATGCTCCTGGCGCTCTCCCTTCTTCTACCAAGGGCCTCGAGAACTGGTGGCCGATGCGGCCTCCGGAGAGGGCCCCAAGACGGCCCCGAAGGGGGGCCTTCCTCGGGCTTCCGAGAGGGCCCCCTCCTCGGCAGGGCGGCTCCGCATCGCAGCAGCACCGCCAGCGGCCCGCACGCCGCGGGCACCTCGCTGCCTCGGGGCGGGGCACGTCGCCGGCGGCGTCGTCGAGGCAGGCCGCGCCAGCAAGCATCGGAGGCCTAGAGGCTGACACCAACACCAAGATCGGCGGCGTGCCTTCGCCGAGAGAAGATGCTCCCGGTCTCGGCGATGGTGGTCATGTCCGGGCTTTACGGGTGGCCGAACTGCCACCACCAGCACCAAAAGCTAGGATCATCTCACCCCTGTGGAGGCAACCCCCCGTGTTGGTGTTGGTGCCCATTGCCAGGCCTCCAATAGCAGGCCCTCTCCCGGTCGCTCGCCCCTCCCGTGTGGCTCCTTCTGGGCTTTCCAAGTGCGGTCCGAGTAGATGGGGTCGAAGGATCGTTCCGCATCGACGATGCGGCCCCAGGTGAAGCCAGCATTTCTCCGCGCCGGTGGCGCTGATGCATCGCCCACGTCGACAGAGCATCGCCCATACGCTGGCGATGCGCCGCGAGCCTCCGACCCATCTGCTCGGACCCCGTCTAGGAGGTCTTAGCTTCTTGCACCTGCCTGCCCCCTTTCGTCCCTCCGCGCCACTCTCTCCTCGGCCGGCAGGCCCCTTGCTCCTCGCTCCCCCCTCCCCGATCCACTCCTGAGCAGCAGGCTCAGCCAGCTGGCAGGAGAACCGTGGCGAAGCAGCACCCAGCAGCCTCAAGCGGCAACAGCGAACAACGGCAGTACGCAGCAGCAGCAGCAGCAGCAGCAACAGCAGCTGCACCCTGCAGCCGCAGGCAGCAACAGCAAAGGCGTAATTCGGGTTCAACGTTTAAGTCGGACATGTCCCTCTACAGGAGGAAAATTCCAAAATAGTCGAAAAACCGTCTGGGACGATCTTTCGACTATTTTTGCATTTCTTTGACCATTTTTCCGTCCAAAATCCGTAGGAGGACATGCCCGACCTAATCCAACGTCATCATGCAAGCCTTCCGGCATCATCTCTGGCCTGACCCTACGTGCCATCTCGGACAGATCTCGTGGCCGGTAGGCCACGGATCATCCCCGGTCAGCTACAGCGCCTGCATCAGCGCGTGCGAGAAGGGCGAGCAGTGGCAGTTGGCCATGTTGCTGCTCCAGGACATTTGCGAGGCAAAGCTGAAGCCCAACATCATCATCTCTTCAAGTGACGCGTGCGGGCAGTGCGCGCCCCCTATGGGGCTCCCAGAACGGCCCAGCGTCCCCCAGGGAGCCCCAGGAGCTCGTGCTAAAGGACGCCAGGGTCCCCCCCAAGCATGGACGACAGCCCCAGACGCCTCCACAAGGCACCAGCACGCGTCCAACGGCCTACCGAAAATCCCAGGCGGCCCCATCATAGCTCCGCACGGAGACCCCCAGAGGTGCAAATCGTCAAGGTTTTGAGAGAGTTGGTCAAATTTCTTCTGGCCTCCATTCCCAAACAGAACTTGCCATAGGGGATCCTCTGTCTAGTTCCCAACCCTCCTGCGATGGGTTCTCGTTTTGAACAGAGCACAGAGGTCGATCCTTTCTCCCCCTCCTGCCTCTTGCCTCCTGCCTCCTAAATTCCTTGTGGCCTCGAGTCCCAAACAGTGCTTGGCAAGCACTGTTTGGGACCGTTTTGTTTTTGTTTTCGCGGGCGACGGTTCGAAACGAAACGGGTCGTTTGGAGGATATCGCCGCTTTCGTGGTCCGCGACGCTTTGAACGAAGACTACGTTCAAAACAAGAACGACGTTCAACTCGCGCCCCGGTGCTTGCTATAGGGGATCTTATACTCGTAAGTCTTGTGGAGGTCGATTAATGGAGAGGAAGCATGCTGCCAAATAACTTCCAGATGAGTAAAAAATGTTTCAAATATGCCTTAGATATGTAAAAACATGTTCGAGACATGTTTAGAACATGTTGTACACCTTTTCAACACATGTTAAACTCAGTGATAGGATTGTCAGAGTGCCCATTGCCATGGCATCCACAAGGCAAGTCCCCGTCTTGTTCTCCATGCTCTCGCAGGGCCGCTGCCCGCATGACGGGGGCGCCTCGTGGCCGCCCCCCCCCGTGCGCGGGCCAGTATTTTGTCCTGGCCTTTCGCCCCCGTGGCCCTCCCCCCCCCCCCGCGGGCGCTTCGTTCGCTGGCTGGCGCTGTTGGGGGGGGGAGGACTGGGAGGAGGACTGGGAGGAGGAGGAGCAGCAGGAGGAGGAGGAGGAGGAAGAAGAGGACCACTGCAAACTCAAGAGCCATCAACGATGTTGGGATTCACCCTCCCTCCAAGCTCCCTCTTCACAGGGCCCTACAAGGGTTCATTTCCATTGGGGCTCTGCCCCGTTGGAAGACAAACGTTTGAAGACCCGGAAGCATGCCAAAACATTGTTCTTGGGATTCCAACGCCACGGATCAACCTGACTGTTGCGTCTTGACGATCTTGGATCCTGTCAGAACGCCATTCTTGGGATGTCAACACCGCGAATCAACGTTACTGCTGCATCCGCAAAATCATGAATTCGTCCAAAAAACCACCATTCCTGGTACGTCGATCGTGGGAGTCCGTGAAACTCTTGCAAGTGTTATGAACGAATGTGCGTGGCGCTAATGCGAGAGCCACATGCTGAAAAGGAACCGCCTTCAATCCGTGAAACTCTTGCTAAGTGTATAACGAATGTGCGCGGCGCTGAGGCGAGAGACACATTTTGAAAACGGGTTACCCTCGATCCGTCAAACTCTGTCAACTTTTGAGAACGAGTGTGCGCGGCGCTAAGGCGAGAGCCACATGTTGAAAACCACCCGCCCTCCATCTGCGAAACGGTTGCCAATTTTTAAGCTTCAGGGTCATCAACGGTGAGGAAGTCTCAGGCGAAACGCCCGGTCCGCCCTAATAACTGGCCTCGGGGTGCGGCAGGGAGAAGTTATTCATAAGGAAAAGGAATGGAAGAGGGGTTGGGGGAGCAGGAGGAAGAGGAGGAGGAGGAGGAGGAGGGGAGGAGGGGAGGAGGGGAGGGGAGACGAAGGAGGGGGGGAGGGGAGAGGAGGCCGCCCGTTTTCGTTTTGAGTAGAGCACTGTGGTCTCCAGCCTTCGCCTTCCCCCTCCGCTTGCCTCTTCCTCCTCCCCGCTCCTCCTGCCTCCTGCCACCTTGCCTCCCTTGCTCGTACCGGTCCTACTGGGGGGCTGCTAACTGCGCATCTGTCGCCACTTTCGTGGGTTCCTGGGTGGCCCAGCAGAGGCGGTAGGCAGGCGAGACTATCGCTTGCTCTTGCGAGGTCCAGCGGAGGCGGTAGGCAGGCGAGACCTCGCTGCTCCCTTGGGGGCCGCCAATTGCGCGCCTGTCGCCACTTTCGGAGACTCCTGGGAGCCCACGAGAGTGGCGACCATTGCACAGTTGGCAGCCACCCAGGGAGCCGCGAGGTCTCGCGTGACTACCACCTCCATGGTGCTTCCCAGGAGCCCACGAAAGTGGCGACGGTTGCGCAGTTGGCAGCCTCCAAGGGAGCCGCGAGGTCTCGCGTGACTACCACCTCCCTCCATTGTGCTTCCCGAGAGCCCACGAAAGTGGCGACGGTTGCGCAGTTGGCAGCCTCCCAGGGAGCCACGAGGTCTCGCATGACTACCGCCTCCGCTGGACCTCCCAGGAGCCCAACGAAAGTGGCGACGGCTGCGTGGCTGGCAGCCGGGAGCCGCGGGTGTCTCGCGTGACTACCGCCTCCATTGTGCCTCCCAGGAGCCCACGAAAGTGGCGGCAGCTGCGCAGTTCGCGGCCCCCGAGGGAACGGGCAGGGGGGGGGGGGGGGGGGAAAATTACCCGATACGTATCCAACCCTTTAACCACGTGTGGCGATTATGTATATGGACGCGTGGATCTGCGTGACAATCTATTCCGCTGCACCCCCAGGAGCCCACGAGAGTGGCGACAGTTGCGCAGGCGGCAGCCTCCCACGGAGCCGCGAGGTCTCGCGTGACTGCCGCCCACCCCCCAGGGGCCCACAAAAGTGGCGACCATTGCACAGTTGGCAGCCTCCCAGGGAGCCGCGAGGTTTCGCGTGACTGGCGCCAACGCTGGATCTCCGAGGAGCCTCCGAAAGTGGCGACAGTTGCGCAGGTCCCAACGAAAGTGGCGGCGGTAACGCGGTTGGCAGCCTCCCAGGGAGCAGCGAGGTCTCGCGTGACTACCGCCTCCACACTGCCTCCCAGGAGCCCCCGAGAGTGGCGACAGTTGCGCAGCTCGCAGCCCCCCAGTAGGAAAGGTAGGAGCAAGGGAGGCAAGGAAGCAGGAGGCAGGAGGAGAAGGGAGGCGTGAGGCAGGGGGCAGGACGATAATGGAGGAGGGGGCAGGAGGAGAAGGGAGGAGAAGGGTGAGGAAGAGGACCCATGAGACCACAGTGCTCTCTGCAAATCGAAAACTCAACACACGAGGGTCGGGAAGGACTGGCAGCCTCCCATGGAGCCGCGGCGGCTCGCCTGACTTCCGCCTCCGTTGGGCGCCACGGGAGCCCACGAGAGTGGCGATCATTGCACAGTTGGCAGCCTCCCAGGGAGCCACGAGGTCCTGCGTGATTGCCACCTCCATGGTGCTTCCCAGGAGCCCACGATGGACCTCCCGGGAGCCCACGAAAGTGGCGGCAGTTGTGCAGTTCTTTATTAGGAGGACGAGGAAGGCACAAAGGAAGAGAAGGAGGAGGCAGGAGGAGAGAGAGACGCGACCGCAGTGCTGTATTCAAAACGAGAACCAACACAGGAAGGTTGGGAAGAATGGGGCTCCCCCCCCCCATCCACCCACGCAGGCCAGGGTTATCCGCTCGCCTCTGCGCATGTCGTTTTCAGATTCATGCTGCAAGACTGGTAATCTGCCACATCATCCGTATCATCCTCAGTCAAACCAGCATCGCACCCCCCTCCCCCGCCCATTTCCTGCAAGAAGACCATGCGGCGCACACGCGTTCATCTGACAAGCGTTCTGCGCAACAACCCTTCTTATCAAAGAGTATCATGCGGGCCACGCGCGCGCGGAAATCATTGAACAGCCAATGGTTCCCTAACCGTTTCAATACACTTCTGCTCAAAAAGTCTCAAAACCCGCTCGTTCAGCAAAAAGTTACCAGATCTCTGCGCGCGCGCACTCGCCGAAGCCACAAGAAAATCCGGTGCATGTTGTTGTTCTAGCAAACGAGACCATGCGGGTCACGCGCGCGCATGTCGAAAACGTTCGACAATTCTACCAAACAAGACATTGCGGGCCACTCTTGCGCGTCTCCGCGCGCACATTTCGAAACCCTAACAAAAACCAACGGCTGTTGAAGCATCTCAACAAAGAGGTGTTCAAAACATTGAAACGACAGGGCTTCTCAGTTAGAATGACCAGCAATTCTGGATTTCTGCGCGCGTGCGTACGTCCTCGTCATCCTCATCTGCACAATCGTCATCGTCATCGCCAGCGTTACATTGCCATCGTCCTCATCAGCATCGTCGCCATCCATTTTTATCATCGTCGTCGTCGATGCTGTCGCCCTCGCCATCATCGCCTCCGCCATCACAATCATCGGCATCGTCGCCGTCGCCAAGCAAGGTTCGCGAGCAAGCCCCCACCGGCAATTGCACTCACGGCCAACATGAATTTATACAGCCGGACCGAGGTATAAGATCGAGGTCGGTTCGGAGAGGGTACCCTAATGTTCTGCTTGTTTGTCGGATGTTCTCGTGCACCCTGGGGGGCAGCAGTCTCGAGCGTTTTTCGGCTTGGTCGGCGGAGGGGGCTCATGTTCTTGAAGGATGTTATTATGTCATAGGTCCGACTGTAAAGTTGCGGGTGCGTGGGTGGGACGTTTGTTCGAGCCTTCCCCGAAGACGCAAGAAATGTTTCAGATGGCGCGAGGGCTGCTGAGAAGCCCCGCCGCCTTCCGAGAGGGCCTTCTGTTTCTCACGTCCCCCCCATCGCTCGCCGCCGATATAAAATTGCGGGCGGGTGGGTGGGATGTTTGTTGGGCGTCGGGCTCAAGTCAGGCGCGCAGCCCGCGGCCCAGCGGCGGGCGCGCGCGACGGAGCCACGCCCGCGAGGGAGAGATCCCCCTCGCCAGCGCGGCACAGGAGGCTGAGAAAGCGGAAATCATTAGCCCGCAGACTCCTCACGCTGGTGCAGGCGCGCGGGTTGCTGGAGTCACGCCACGGGAGCATGGCGAAGA